TTAAGCTGGGAGCACAATTTTGGTAAGGAATGTTTGCAAGACTTTCAGATGGGAGATCACATCTGATGGTCTCAACAATATTCAAATATAGGAATGTCTGCAGTGGGAAAGATCAATGGTCTACAATGTGGACCACAAGGTATCATGTGTCCCAAAAGGAATCTGCAGGGACGAGTGTAAGACCAAGTAAGCACACAGTGATACTTTCCTGAAATATCCCCTTGCCTCCAACAATTCGCATCTCAGTGTTTTTATGAGGCAAATACGGTAAACTATTGTAAAATACATTTGGTTGTGCAATTAGAAAAAAATAAAGAAATTTTTTTTTGATACCCACCTGCTGAGTACTTTCTGTACATGCAATGGTTGAGAAAATAAATACATTTAAACTATTCTTTTTAAGGCCACATAAACTTATAGTGTCTTGAGTTCCCTTAAGTCCACAGCACACCTGTTCTATGTGCAAGCAGAATTGTCTTACTTCCAGACACTGAGATTCAGAAACTGAGCATGTTGGATGAAATATATCTCAGAAATTGTTCTGTTCTTTGAACAAGAAATAACAGAAAGACTTAGTTTCAATATCACAGAGTGAAGATGTTTCCATCATTTTCAGATTTGGTTTTTTTTATTAAAATGGGGGTTTATTATTGAAAAAAAAGGCCAGAAACAAAACAGCTTTGGAAAACAGCCCAAAACTCTACCCTCTACTCAAAACACTGTGTGGCAAATTAGTTTTTTCTAGTACCAGGGGAACTTTGATTTCATCCCTTGGCCTTAATATAATCTGGGGTAAGGTGTTTCATTTGACTATCTTAATTTTCCTGTCTTTAAGGTGCATGTTACAACTTCTGGTTAAAGATACTGAGTGACTCTATGCAAAGAACTGGGACTGGCCAAATCCAGGAGACAGAACAGACCAGTGCAGCCATGAGCACTCAGGGTGCAAATACCTGGCATGGCCCCAAAACAATCAATGTGGCAGAAATCATAAATTGCAGTTGCCTACCATCTCCACAGGGAGATACGCTGCAGTATTCCCAGGTCACAGATGGGTCTTTTGTGTAGCACCAGGGACGTTCGTTCTCACCTCCTGGATTGCGGCAGTAATTCTCGGCATCAGACAGCTCGGGGAATACTTGAGGAGTCCTCCTGTGCAAGTGGGGAGCCTTGGGGGAGGAAAGAAATTGGACTAGTGTTTCAGTACAGATTTTCCTTCTGGTATTAGCAAAACAAAACCAAACAAAGCAAAGAAGAAAGAAGGGCAGAGGTAAAACAACTTTTCAGTAGCCTGAAATTATGCCATTATGACAGAGAACGCATCCTGCCACGGGCAGAGGAACTAGCAGATTGAAATACGGGGGTGTGAAACACCAGTGAGCTCAAGAATGAAGGCAACCTGTCCCTTGCTCAGCCCTTCCATTTGGACTAGGATGCTGCTCTCTGGGAGAGTCTTTTGGAAAAGCAAACCTCAAGCATGGCTCTCTGTTCAGTGGGTCTCACACTGACACCCACCTGGTCGCTCCACTTCTGGCAGGGAATGCCGGAGGCCGTGACATTGGTCCAGCCTTGGTAAAACTGGCCATTGCCACTGTAGCAGGTCTCTGGGAAAAAAACAAAACAAAACAAAACAAAACAAAACAAAACAAAACAAAACAAAACAAAACAAACCCAAACAAAACAAACCCGTGGGCTCAAGGCATGTCAAACCACATCCTGCAGCCGGGACTAACACAAGTAAACCATGTCATTACATGAGAGCATGTGGCAACTAGCAATAGGTCTGAGATGCGTAGAAGGACCAGACAACTGCATGCAAGGTACTGCTTAGCCTCCTGTTCACACTTAAGTGGATTTTGAGCTCAATATTTAAAAACAAATCAGATAAAACTCCAAAGAGTGAACTGGCTCTCTTTCACACTGAAAAAACAAGACATGTGCCTGTGATCGTTGCTCTGCATCTACCCATTTCACAGCACTTCCATGCAGAAAGTACAGTGCAGAACCACAGTGAAGCCACCCGTGCCAAAACAAGGCAGAATGCAAACTGCAGCTCTGGTTGCATGATTCCTAGCCTGCACTTTTACAGGGGTGCCAACAGGAAGACACACACGTTCCTGTGTCAGATAGCAGAGAGATGGGATTCATAAAGTCCCACAGCAATATCCTTCCTCCCCATCTCTGTACAGCACTAGTCCTCTTAGACTGAATATTTGGAAACAGCCTATGTTTTCAAGCATGCATGGAAACCACACATTGAAGACAACTACACGTCTGAAGGAATAGTATCAGTATAAAATAATGTTCTTTATAATGAAGAACATGTAGTTCATTTTCCATACATGAAGATTCCTCAGGCAGCAAAAATATTAAGTAGAAAATCTTCAGAGCATGTTAGTGTAGGAATATGTTCCCAAAACAGAAATGCAGACACCAGCTGTCCTTATAAGAGACTTTGATGCATGCTGGCATAACCTAGGAAGCAGGAAGACAACAGAGGAGATGCAGCCTTGCTCATGTTAACGCATGCTAGCTACTCCTGTGTAAACTCTGCTGACCAGGGGCTAACCTTCTGGTTGATAGCACGCGCTGGGGTCAACTGCATTATCCACCTTGTTAGATAAATTAACAACCCAGCAAACATTGTTGTCATAGTTCTATTTTCAAGTTTGTTCTTAAACAGTCAGCTCAGAAAAACAAGAGGAAACGTGACCTATTCTGAAGATTTTTCAAAGAAATCTTTTTCATCCTCATGAAATCTTTTAATAAGTTTTGATCCAAGTTTGAGATAAAGGCTTTGTACAATAACTTATCCTTGCAGATTGTCCTGTTTCTTCTTTAGGAGGAACACAGTAAATGCGTCATGATGACTCTCTGCTCTTTTCTCATTGCATCACCCATTGCACTCAAGATTGCAGTTACGGGTCTCTTATAGACCCTTAGCCTTCTGAACTTTCACCAGGCACCAGACATTACACATAGCTAGGTAGAAACACCACCATGACAATGTTCACTCCAGCTGAGTAAGCTCAAACACAGGATCAAGTTCCTGTAGCCCAAGGTGTGCAAGCACCAATATAGGAATGGCTGTGAACTTCATGAGCACACTTGTTCCAGTTTTCCAGTTCCATCACAACTGGAAAGTAAAATGCTCTAACCTAGACTTCTTTGACCAATATGTAAGCTACCATGTTATGGCTCACATCTGCAACAAGCTTGCTCCCACATTACCACCACCTGTAGCTCTGCAGAGGTGTAAAATCCTGTCAGACTGCTCTAGAACATAGTTGTGTGCGTAAGCCCAGTGTTTTAAATGTCTCACCTTCGAAGGCAAGGAAAGCAATGCCTGAAGCTTACCTTATGACTAGTAACCAACATAAAAAAAAAAACCCAAATTTTTGCCCAGCTCTGAAATAAACATCAATGTGATATTGCTTAAAGGAGCAACGTGGAGAGCTTTAGAGGCAAAAGCAACATGAAGGAAGCACCCCCGAGTCCTCAGTAGCCTGGAAAATGCTGATGCTCTCATACACATTCTTGCTGCAGTGAAGACAGAGGGAATAATAAAGTCAGTCCAGGGGGGACCTTTGATGAATAACTTTGGTGGGGAAGCCAGAAAATTGTCATTTCATGCACTCCAAACCTTTGTGCACATAACAGTGGTTCTAAAACAAAAAAGAGGGGGCAATATCACTAAAATGTTCCCACTATATCTCCCTGATTCATGATCAAATAGTGCACATATGTGCAATGCCACCATGGGAAAATACTGTGAAAGTTGAAAAAAAAGGTACCACATTTACACAGGAGACAGAAGCCATGTCCTGAACTTGCAGACATCTAAGGGGAGGCTGAAACCATCATGTGAACGTACAATTAATTTGCTGGCATCTATTTCTCATGCTCCTTTCACCAGGGAAGGGCTGGTTGCAGCTGCGAGCTTAAGCATTGGGCAGTGATGCTGGAGTGCCCATGGGGTGCTAAAGTGCTTGTCTCCCAGGTGTGCAGCACCAGGTGCCTGGGTCTCATGTGTCTGGGTGGACCAAGAGGCCTTACCAGGAAAGAAAACTCCCTAGAGTCCTTGATTTCACTTCTTTCACTTTCCCTCTCCATGCAGAAGCTGCTTGCCACTGCCAAGTCTGCAGACCTCACCTGCTCAGAAGCAGTGGCAGGAAGGGGCTTATTCCATTTTTCCAATGGCATAAGTTTAGTGACTGAGCTTCCAAATACAGTTGCATGCCGGTTGGAAGAGCTAGATGTGCATGTTTCAGCCAAGACCAGCAGCAGGGCAGGAGGTCAACAGAAGTCACAGCAGTGCTGCAGAGGTTGCTGGTTCTTGTCATTGGTCATAGGAGGTCACACAAAAAAAACCTTCAGAGGTGATTGGAGTAGAGTGCTGGGGCCTTTTGGGTAATAAGATTTTGCAAGGCCAACCTGACATAGGTAACCATGTCAGTAACAACCTATAAGGCTGGGATGACCTTGGTTGCAGTATCAGAAATACCTAATATGGGTTAAGGAAAACTAGAAGCAACGGGTAGAAAGAAGACGAAACTGCTGGATGTAAGGGTACTACCTAAGAGCTCTATGCCTCCCTAATCATATTCAACAGTTCCCAGCCCATGTTCTCCCCAGGCTCTGAAGAACTGGAAATGTGCTTTCCCATGCCTTGGATGTGGAAGCTCAGGCATTCCACGGTAATAATCTGAATCCAGGCAGTCAGGACCAGAGCAAAACACAAAAATTTCGTGCAGGCTGCATGTTCAGCACATATCATGCCCACTTCTAGAAACACAGAGCCTGGAGCATCTACTTACTTGTTATATTCTCCTTCTTAAAATCTGTAAAAAAATACAAGACAAAACATAAGGAAGGGTTGTACAGGATGTGATACAGCTGGGTGCTTGCTTAGGAGCATGGTATGGGAACAAGTTCCCTGACAGCCATGCTTAAGCAGCTTGTTTCTTCGCAGTGGCACCTGAATGGCAATTTTGCCATTGTTAAGACTGGTTTTGGCAATGAGATTGTTATGACCCTCTCAATAAAGAGCCAGGCTTTATTTACTTGAGGAGTTTTACCTTCACCCCAGTTGGATGAGACAGGCAAACAGACAAAATGCTGTTGTCACAGTTTTGTGCGCAGGCACTGACAGACCCATACCCATGTATCCATGTAAATACCAATGTAAATTATGGGTCACATCCTTCCTCCCTCCCTCTCCAAGGACATAGCTCTCTGAACAATGGCCAGTGTGTGCTTACCAAAAAAAGGGATGTGGGTGCAGGCGCTGGGGTCCTGGTGCAAGCTGGGCAGCCTGTTGCATTCTGGAAGAGTGAACAGCATCAGCCCTGGCTTGTAAATCCCCTTCTGAGAGTTTTCCTCCATCGAGAGCCATTCCTTAAAGCAGTAGAGATCCTTTACAGCAAGGCAATTCTCTCTACATTATTTTGCAAAAAAACAGTGAAATACAGTGGTCAATGGCTTGATAACAATGGCTGCACTTAGCAGTGGTATGCAGGTGTTATGCAAGCTGACAGAAATCCATTAACAGGACCACATTTCTTTAAACCAGCCTGTCTGGCTCATAACCTGTAAAGGAAACTGTGTATAAAATATAAAAGCTTTCTTTAGGAAACCCACAATTTTTAATGAAGCAAGGTTATGCTCACAGCACAACACACATCACAGTCTGGGAGGAGCTCATGCCCATCTTTTCCTGCAGATTTACTGCCATCTTCTACTAATAAGTATCATGTCTGGGAGTTATCTTAGCATTTTCTAGTACATTCTAAAAGTGTGACCTTTTCTTCTGTAAGTTGTATATTCAAGCGTCATCTATTAAAGTCAGGAGGTGAGCTGTAATTCTTAATCTACTTAAACTACATATTTGCCTGTATTTTTACTCTCACAGAATCACTCATCCAATTTCCTTCTTTTCTCCACAAGTAAGTTTTCTGCAACAGCAGTGGATACCCTTCAAGTCTGCAGGCTGAAGCAAGTGAAGCCCAGCTGCCTTGTGCTTGGTTCCAGCCAGTGCTGGTTTATTCCTTCCTCACTTCCATGAAAGCCAGAGTGCAGCTAGATGGCATAATTCATCTTTCTTGTGTTAAACAACATGTGGAACAGGAATGGCCTTCTGAAATAAAGAAATGTTTAGCTAGAGAAATGAGAAAATCTTGCACTGAAGTCCTGGCAGACACTTGGGAGACCTGGCTTGCATTAGTTGCCTTCACTCATGAGGCTTAAGCATCCTTAGACAAGCCCCTCATTCAGTGTCCAACTGCAAAATGTTTAAGACCGTTCCTCTGCAGTCCTGTCCACTCCAGCATTAAAGGCAGGTTATCTTCACCCACAAACCTATCTTGGGAGTGAGGCAGATGATCAGTCTCCTTGAGCTGGGTTTGTGCCATTGTTATAACACTTAATCCTGAGCAGCAAGAGCTTGATGAGATCATATGCAAAGATTACTTCAGATTATTATTAGAAATTTTATGTCATGTAAATGACAGATGGACAAAGAACAGTAGCAGCAGAGGAGGACAAGTGAGCCAGTAACATTTTAGGGACCACAACGGACTGCTTAAGAGGAAGTAGGAACACACAGACCCAGCTGAAGTGAGATGATTCCCAACACGAGACTGTTTCCTGATGCCTGGTCTCTTCATATCAGCAGCAGTCGAAAAAGAAAGTGAGGGGTTTTCTTTTGCTATCATAGAAGTAACCAGGGATGAAAGGCAGATGTAATTAAGAATTATGAGAAGAGACATCACTTTCCCTTAAAAACAGAAAAACTCTGATTTTAACCAAATTGCCCCTTAATTTACATGAAATTAAATTTTCCCGTGCTGTTTTCTTTCATTTCACTTCATCATTTTGTTCCCCGATTATTTTTATAAAAGATGTACTCAGTCTGTTTATCAGTTGTTATTCTTGCTAGATAGCTTCCAAACTGAAACAAACATTAAAAATTACATGGGGAGATAAAAATGGTGCAGAGAATAAATAACAAGTGAAAAACAAATGCAAATAAGTCAGGAGAAATACATCCATCAAAAAACTGCGAGAATTCTCCATCTTCTGATACAGTTAAAGTATTACTCCTGAAGTATTTCAGCTGAAAATTGGGGTAGTCTAGCCAGTTTCTGCAAAGAAGTATAAAGTTGTCAGTAAAAAGCAGATAAGATAACTGGAAGTAACTAAGACCATGTGAAATATGTTCAAGAGGCCCCAGGGGTCTCAAAATATTAGATGCTTGAGTTATTAAAGGGAGTATTGGTTTAGAGCTTTGGAGGAACTGTTGTCCAGCTGATGTGTTCTGGGAACAGGAAACAGGAAGGATGCCGTTCCAGGGCTCTCATTGTGAAGAGAGCTCCGTTTAAATCTGCATTAAAATCACAGGGGGAAATCATTAAATGGGGAAAAAAAAAAACAAACTTAACATTAACTTGTGGATTTGAAGAAAGATGGTGCCAGGCAAGTCCACTGTGATTTAAACACATTTAGAAATGCTGTGCCTGTTAGTTTGAGGTCACAAGTTCTGGTCTCGCAGAGCCACCCATGGGCAGCGGTAAATGTAGCGAGACCCAGATCTGAAATGCCTCATGGAGCACTGTTCAAAATCCCTAGCTGACAAATGTGCTGTGCATGTGTAGCTTAGATTTAAATACTGTCCAAGATTTTGAAAAAAGGCAGACAGATCTTGTACTAAAGGGCACAATGACAAAGAGCAGAACAGGGTGACAGGGAGGAGTCTTGCCAGCCAAAAGCAAGTTTCAGTACTTCGCTACATGATTATCTGTGGGCACCTGCACATAAAATTCTTTCATAGGCTATATGCCATTGCCGTGCTGGCAGAGGAATACCCAACAGCACAGGCACCAAAGAGAGAACACAATGTACTGTCAAGCTTCATACTGGGATTTTCCTCTGTGCCTTTGTTTTAGAGATGTTAAAGGGGGAGCAATCAGAAAGATCGAGATTACAAAGACAGCTTACTGCTGATTGTCCTAAAAATCCCCTAAATAACTGGAAAGATAATTGCCAGTAGACTACATCTGGCCCAAGCCCAGCTGGCAGCATGCTTGACATGTCTGCAGAGAAGACCTCTGTTTGAGTTGAGACACTAGAGTTAAGAATGCTTTCCCAATAAACACAAACCTAAGTAATCTGGTTTCAGATGAAAAATAGCAAAGTAGAGGACTTATGCAAGGATGTCAGCTGCCCAAACACGAAATGGGTATGATCTCATCCAGGGTCTGGAATGGGTATGAATTGGTTGTGGACAACAGTTGTGTTAGGAAAAAAAAGAAAGCTTCACCCTGAGACATCTACATGGTGCTGTCGTCTTCAAGGCACACCAAGCAATCATCCTCCCACTAGAGTTAACACTAACAGAACCTGGGCGGGAGGCTATATATATTTAGTGCTCAAGAAGAGATGAGGAGCAGATGCTTCAGAGGCCAGAAAAGCAAAAGCTATGGGCAAAGCTTGGAAAAACCTGGTTTATTCTAGTCTGAGAAATCGGGGAAGACATCAAATCTCACTGCAAAGTGGAAGGGAAGAAACTCATCTCTGTTTCCGTGGTGGGAGGACAAGGAGCAAGGAGGGAAGGGCTAATCAGGAGGTTGCACAGTGAGGAAGCACTGTGCCTGTTGCTGGGGACTGTTGCACAAACACCTGTCAGCAGTGGATTAGCTGTAGTGGGAGATGCTTTGGACTCCTCAGGGTCCCTGTCAGCCCTGTTTCAATGCACATGTCTCTGCATATGGGAAGATACAAGAGCCAGATGGGAGGCTTGTTTTAGAAGGTACAATTACACTGCCAGTGTCTCTGGTGTCATCTTTTCTTGTCTCATCTTCATTGTGGTGTGAAGTGTTGAATGATTAGTGTATTGCCTTGGCCAGATTTGCTGCATGCACTGTGACTATATTTAGTCAAAATTTCAAACAAGCAATTAATTTTGATAGTAATAATGAGTACACACTGAGCTAGTAATATTTAACAAATCACAATATGTTAATTATTTAAATCAATTATGTTATTCAAATTGATAGTCCACCAAAAGCCTGACATAACACAGACATTTCAGCCTGAAAATCAGTCTGTACCCTAGCAATGAGCATCAGGTCATCTTTGTGTGTACAGAGGAGACAGCAAAGGGAAAAAAACCATGCAAATTTAGAGGGCCCATTTTCACTCAGTGCTACTGCAGGTCTGGACAGACACTCGCTGCTCCCCTGATGTCTACACCTCCCCACGAAGTGAAAGTGAAAGATAAGCTTTTTTTTTTTTTTTCAATTTACCTGCACACTGGTTTTGGAGCTGGCCCGGCTCCCGAGGGATTGCACTCCTGGAAGATGTAGTTACACAGCAGAGACTCAGCTGCCGGCTGGCAGAATGAACTCACCATTTTCAGTTCAGTCCAGGCAGTGTGCACAAGCAGCTCTTGGGTCTCCTCTGGGTCAGCATAGGAGGAGTTGAAGAAAACAAGAGCATTCTTTGCCAGGATAGCACTACACACCTCACCTCTGTATGTGCTGCAGTAGCCTGAGTCACCCTTGTATAACCTGCTGTTGAGGACAAGAGCATACACACACTGTAGTCTCACAGCCCTCTCACACAGCTCTGTTTCTGCATAAAGAAACTGTAAGGCTAACAGGGTGGAGAAGATGGTAGATGGTTATAACCACTAAAAACAACTAATACCATCCAAAACCAAAACTTGCGCAAGGAACCCTGATGTGAGTGCAGGACCCTCCTGGAAAGCTCCAGGGCTGAGGCCTTGGCTGAGGGTTCCTAGCATTGTAAGTGGGAAAAAAGACTGAGTGAACATTCACAACTATGACCTACAGTGGCCCCTCATCCTGCCCCGAACCCCTAATGGGAAAATGTTTTGTTTTCCTGCTTCCCTGCAGCAGAGAATGGCCACAATGCTTCATACACACCTGTGGTAAGTCAGGATTTTTTCCTCTGCTGATGAGCAACAGTTTAATTTTGGATCGATTTGATGACCAGGAGCCCGGTGAGTCTCACCCAGCAGGTGCCATGAAATTCGTCACACAGTCATACCAGCCAAGCTCCTGCCTGCCCCTCCTCAGCTCCTGCACCCCTCCTGACCCTGCCTCTCTTCCACACATATTCAGGTGGGAGACAAAGGGAGGAGGAAGGTACAAGCCTCCACAGTTTTCCTTTTTGTGCTTCCTTTGGTCCGTCCTGTCCTCTCTTCACCATGTCTCCCACTTGGCAAGCTCCTGGCACAAAGCATGGGGCCAGATCTATGCCAGCTGTCATCCCTCCCCCACTTCTTCCCTCCAGGTCAGCCATGCTCCCAGCAGCCCTCATGGCCACTCCATGGCAGCAAGGTCTGCGGGTGAGGATGTGCCCTCTGCTGAGGCAGCCCACGAGATGCAGAGCCCTCAGTGGTGCAAACAAGGGGAAAACAGCCTCCTGTGTGTTCAGGGGTCAGGTGAACTGGGGAGGGGGAGGTCTGGGTGCAGCTCTCCCCACGGCTCTTTCAGTCAGTGTAACTGGGGTCAGGGAGTTCAAGTCACAACACACCAACCATGTGGATTAGCCAGTAGAGCTATTTGTATCTTTGCCTTTTATTTCTTTCCCTTGTCCAAATAATTGCCCTTTGTCAACACCAGTTTTTTTTGCTGATTTTCTTCAGAAAGCTGGAGTCACTGGATGCCCACATTTCTACTTTTCAGATGCTGCTCTCAGGCGACAATCTCTGGCCCTGTTTTAGATGCACTACTTTAGGGTCCATGTAAATTTTTTTTTTAAATTATTATTTTTTCCATATGTCACATTGCCTAAAAATACAGGAAGGCACCAATTCCTTGAGGCAGTAGCTAAATGGCAGTGATAATGTGACACACTACATCACTCCAGGCTCCATGGACTCCCCTCCAGGTGACACAGTCACTCTGCAGCATCCTTCACCAGTCACACAGCCTGCCACGTCTCCTTGGCACAGAGCAGGTTTCTCCACAGCACTGTGCTGCCCCCAGCGCCCCGATAGAGCTGTCCTGGCATGGCAGGGGTCACGTTATTCACACTTTCCTGAAGATGTCCATTGTGGTTAATCTGAAAAGCACATCTTTCCTGGGGCCCAGGAGGCATAAGAGGCCACAGGCATGCATGGGGCAGCTCTGCTGCTGACTTCAGCAGACTGCAGAAGCAACTTTGCAAGAGCCACTAGCACAATTTTTCCCTTTCCTCACTTTTTTCAAACCTGTTGGGAGACACAGACTAGGCTGTGACGGAGAAGACGCAACAAACTCTTTCTCACAACACCTTGTCAGAGAAAGGGAATTGCATGCAGCAAATGCTTGAGAACAACTGCAGGACGGAAGGGCTGAGCATTTGATCCCTGTTCCCATGCCTGTCACACCTACACGGGTGCAAGTGTAAGGCATAAGTCTGCCATTGTCATCAGGAAGTTACTAAATCACTTACAAACTTCCCAAATCAATCTTACAAGCCCCTGTGAGGGAGACAAGGGTCTTTGCAGGGTGCCTGTGTCAGCAGAGTGGCAAAGCCATTTGTTCAGACTTTCTCAGGCTCTGTTCTTTTCTCTGAGGGTCAATAGCTACAAGCCCTCCTCCCAGGCTAACCCTTTCATTTTCCTTCCAGATTGATCTGCGAGTGCAGCATGTAGAAATATTCTAGGACTCTAAAGTGAAAAAGCCAGACAAATTGTTCAGTACTCAGAAAAACACTGAGCAGAATTTTATGTCTGATCACATATGGGTAAAGCCCATTCTGTGATCGGAATAACATTCATAACTCTTCTTGGAGCCGACATCTACATTTATCTTGCCCTAACCTGGTGATCACTGAGCCAAAAGACATTTATTGTCTGTATACAGACAGGATTTTAACTTGCAGTTAAGCTTTTGCCTGTAAATTTATAGGGTCAGTGCAGTTGCAGATGTGTAACTGTGAAAAGAATTTATTCCAGAATAATCTGCCCACTACCATGTTTTAAACACCTTTGCTGATGTGTGATAAACTACTTCCTTGATACAGAAGCATCTTTACCTACCTAGGCCCAGTGTCCAATTATGACTGTATAAAGGAGCTCAGTGAACCTTGGGTGAACCTCCAGGTGAACCTCATGTGCATGCTTGGTATCCAGAAACCCACTCCCTTCATTTAAGCCAAATAAACCATATCCCTTTGGTTCATGATTCTTCTCCTGCCTGGCCCAGAGGAAACTCCTAGACAGCCATGGAAAGTCGTTCTTACCTCCACTCTGCCAAGAAGCACCAGATCCAGGAATTGTGATGAGCCAGGAGAAAGAAGAAATGGAAAAGACATCAGTGACATGTCATTGCCTTTCTGTGATGTGGAAGTTAAGATATCCATGATAGAAAAATCTGTCCGAGACCTGTAAGCTGTCTGAAAAGGATGTAACTAAATTCTTTCTTTATTTTGCACCTTCTTGTGGAGAAGAGCTGGGCAACATTGGACACCATACAGGGACAGAGAATCAGGGAGAGGTGTTCTGTTGTACCCTAAACCCATGCTTTTACCCTTATTCCTTGGGTCCTGCATAACCAGCAGCTAGCATCCTCTGTTTAAGCCACCTATGCACCCATTACTGCAGGCAGCAGCTGTGACAGGTGGGACAAACCAGGGCCAGAGAAGAAGCACAGGCACACCACCATGGCCCCTGTTTGCATTGTTGCAAGGAGGACACACTGAACATCAGCCAAGGACGAGGACACCTCTGCTGTGGGACCCCTGGGAGCTGGGACAAGGCCAAGGCAGGCTCCTGCTCAGGTCGGGGGGGGCTGCTCCCCCCTTGCTGAGCACACACATCCTGGAGGAGAGCATTGCAGTTTCTCCCACCAGCCCAAAGTGCCCTTCTGGGCAGAGCCTTGCCTTGGCTAAAACCAGAAGTGGGGATGTAAAATACAGTAGCAAGAGCTGAGTCTCTTCCAGGACAGAGTTTGCTGCCAGGTTTCAATGCCCAGTGTAAGAAAGGGCATTACTCTTTTCTCAATAGAGCAGAAACTGAGGCACAGAGAGAGGGGCGGGTACATGCCTGGTTAACAGCAGGACCAGGGCTACCACTGTGTGTTTCGAGTCCCAGGTAATTCCTCTTTCCTCTAAGTAAAACTCCACTGCCTGTCCCAGGAGGGAATGTACAAGCTCCCACCTTTCTTTTTGTGTGCCAGATGCTGTCAGTTAGTTCAGATTATTGGTGTTTCTACTCTTTGGAACATTCTTTCCCCATTTGGGAGACAACCCTAGGAGCAGAGGTTACCCCATGCACAGCAGGGTACCACTCTGACAGCAACCTCCCTGTTTTCTGGATGCAACCCCCTGAGAAGCCAAACCGCTCATGAAAGCTATTTTCACCTTGCTGTTAGGTGATACCAGTGCTGGGTCATGGCCACCACTTCCTCTGCATGGATGAACTTACCAAGTGAGGTTCTGTGACACAAAGTACAAGACAGCACCAAACATTCAGGAAATGACAGCTGTGCCAATCTCTGGAGAGTGAGAATATATGAGGAAATACCCTGGGGCGGGACACATTTATACTCAGATTTACCCCTCTGTACACTATCAGCTCTCCAAGGCTTTCCATTCTCCTCCAGAACACTTGGCATTCCTTTCCTCTTCCCCGGCAGGGAAGCTAGGACTGTGATTGTAAGAGCAAAAAATTAATTACCTCTTCTTTCCCAGCATACCTGAAACACTGATTGTAGCTGCAGCTTTTGCGGCTCCAAAAGTTTTGCTGTGTTTGTTCATGGCAAGGCAAGTGAATAGACCAGGTCGGGTGACGTACACCTGCAGTCTGGAGTCAACCACTCTGTCCTTGACACTTTCCACTATAGACCCTGCAGAAACCTAAAAGAGCGAAAAGCCCAGTGATATTTCCAACAAAGGCAAACAAATATACCAAGGAGAAACCTGAGAGACTTATCCCCAAGCATTTAAATTGCCACAGAAAGATGCAGCATGCAGACAGAAGTGGCAGAGAGCTAAAGCTGCTGGTGTTATTTTGGTCCTTTCATAGCGTCTGACTTCACAGACAAAAGCAAATGTTAAAGACCTCTCCTATTTCACACTTCAGCAGTACTTTAGCATCTAATTTTGTGTTCCAGAGGGCTGTAGTCTCAGTTCTGCTCATGTAATTGAGCTCACTAATTACCCCGGGACCTCTTCTAGTAGGCTGTTTCGCTATTCATGCCTTAGCAAGGACAGGCATGAGGTGGCTTTGTGGACCCTGGCTGTAAAGAGGGAGAAAAGAAAACAGTTTCGAAGCTGTTGATTCTGAATTAATATAACCACTGCCACACTTCCAAAGCAGCTGTGAGCAGAGCAAGCACTCTGGCTCTGACACTTTGGCAAGGAGCTGATAGATTTTTGCATCTCACACTTGGAAATACAGAAGGCTGCAGATGTGGCTATTTTGACCAGTACTTTTCCCAGATCAGAAATTTCCAGATCGATGTGCTTGGAGCCTGCTGGTTTTGGCCAGCAGCTTCCTTCCTCATATGGCATTCATTAAAGTAGAAGGACATGGCACACCAAGACTCTACCTTCCAAAGGCGGTAGGAAGGAGCAGCATTGCCTGCCCTACCCTTCATACCAATAGGAAGCTTCAAGTGCAGTTCAAATGAGATGTTGCCTGTGGGTTCCACCACTGTGATCTGACCCTAAGGACGGTGAGAGTTGTCTCCTTGGACCTATGCCAGCAAAGCACCCTACCTATACATCTGTTTGGTGGGTTAGAGCAATCAGCCTGAACTCCGTAAAGGCTAGCAGAAACATGACTTCAACGGGATGTGTCTCTTCCCAAAGTTATTAACAGTGATAATCAAAAAAGCAAGAAGGGATGCATCAGCTTTGTATCACATATTTAGTAAAGATCAGTTATCTCTGAAAAGACCGTGTTGAAAACAATTTGGTTTTGCCTCATTCAGGCTCAGCTTGGAGTTGTGGTGAAGGTGTGCACATAGGAGGAAATCACTAAATAACCAGCTACCGCTGCGATAACAACACAGTTACTCTAAGTATTGCATCTGCCATGGGTGGTATGCTGCTTATTGCACAAATGCAGGGACCAGGGATACTTTTTGCCCTTATGCTGTGAAGTCATCTTAGGTGGATGGGGGCTCGGGGGATATTTTTTTCACAACTTTCTCTTTTGTTACAATGCTGGTCAGATTTCTTTTTCAATTTTTTTTCTCCCCAGAAATTACTCAGCACTAAGATAGTGCTGATCCAGTCCACCCTCCCTTTTAAGTACTCCTCAGGCATAGTTTGTTCTGTTAAGCTCCTCTCCCAGACATGCTGGACTGTGCCTGGTGAGCATGGAGAGCCAGGACTGCTCCTTCTGGCTTGGGCCATGGGTAGCTGCAAGCAGTATGAGCTGTAAGCATGGTTACATGCATCATGGAAAATCACAGGTGAAAGTGTTAGCCTGTTTTTCCTAGGATTTTCACACCACCCAGCTGTTTTTCTCTCTGTTGGGAACCTCGGGTTATTTCTTTGTGTTAATTGATTCCCTTCCCTTTTCAAATATGTTCCCTGAGATTTTGTTTCCAGCAGGTCTTTTTTTGGCCTTTAAAATGTCACCTCAGCTACCACCAAAGCAGAGACCTTTTCACATCTTCACACCTGGCTCACTTATTCCTTGCAGTGCAGAGAAGTACAGTTTAAAGTCCATGACGTCTCATGGTGAATATTAAGAGGAAAAGGAATTCTGTTTCTCTTCAGATAGGCAAGGCAGCTGCTGCACAGAGAAGTTTCCATCCCCCTCTTTAAAGGCAGCTCAATAACCTCAGCTCATCCCCACTCTTTAAACGCCAGGACAATTACAGAGCAGTGTTAGGAGACTGTAATGGTGCAGGCATGTTGTATATTCAAATAACCCCATTATTGCCTGCTTGTGAGCCAGCCTTCAGACACACACACCCCAGTCCACTTGCTTCCTGGCCTGACTTCCCCAGAGATGAATTCTCATTAAGGTTTCCTTGCCATATTTAAAGCGAAGCAGCCTGGAGCACCAGCCTTCTGGGACTGGGCTTTGCCTTGCAGACAGGAATGGGGTGGAGGGGATCTGACCACTCATGCAGTGACTCCAGGCAGGGCCTGAGCACCATCTCACACACAGGTCTCTGTGGGATAAGAGAGGGAGACCTTGGCAGAGCTGAGTTCAGTGCTCTGAAAATAGAAGGTCTCTGCCCTTGCCAGGGACTCCAGCTTCCCCCAAAATGTTTTTTCCCCAGTGGGGAAACAGGCTTGAATGAACACCTGCAGTTAACCTAAAACAACTATCGTCAGAAACTATTGAGGACCCACAGGGCTCTGCAGAGGCTGACCTGATCCCTTTGCTGTTCTCCCTAGCAACCTTGAAGGAATATAGAAAATTAGCCTTAACCAGACTGGAGGACACAATAAAGTTTAGAGAAGATAAGGAAGGCAGGACAGCCTGCAGCATAGCCAAGGATCCTTAACAATGCATTTTAATATTGGAAAAGAGAGGATACAGACCAGAATGGGGATAACCTTCTCAAAAAAAAAATGAGTAAGAGGATTCATTGGTTCTATCGGACAAGCAAGTCCACAGGAATGGCCGTGGCCAGCTGGTGGCCAGAAGGACTTGAGTTTGACAGGGAGTCAGTGAGAAAGAGTGGAGGCAAATTTCCAGCCTGCATGCAGCGGTTGCTCCGCCTGCCTCTATCGCATCATGCCCTGGGACTCACAGCCTTGAAAAAGCTGTTGGAAGACCACAGAGAGTATAAAGCATGTCCAGCATAAGCATACGAAGACTGGAGGAAACCCATGGCAGGCTCAGGCTGCAGAGCTGCTGTGGCTGTGGTGCCCTGCTCACTCCCAGGGAGGCAATATGAGGTGTAAAGTGGCTCTTCAGGTCAGCTGAAAGGAAGACATTGCAATAGCCTAAACACAGACATGAAAGCCAGATGAATTCAAAGCAGGCAGCTATTTCAAATGATCAGAATAATTAGACCATGAAACAATTTCCTGTGAGAAGCAGTGGGCTTGCAGCTCTTCATGCCTGCCACTGAAGAGCGTGTGCCTTTCTTGAGGACGTGCTTCTAGCCAGGAATAAATTAGTGACCTACTTCAGTGCATCACCTGGGTCAGCCTAAAAAATTTCCTATCTATTAATCTGCAAATACTCTGTGAGTATATGCTGATCCACAGGTATTCTACCTCAAAGACAGTTTGGTCTACCTAACTGTCTTGGTTTGTGTTACTCTGTCAAACAAGTAATTTTGCCAAGTTAGGCAAAATTATGAGAAAGGAGAGGAAAGGTGGCTGCAGAAATACTTAAACCCACAATGAAGTCCTAGAAAATCTGTCTCAGAGGAAGGCTGTAAGCATCTAAAGCATCTTTCATCTTGGGCTTTCCAGACCCTATCATATTAACCCACGCAATGCACTGGAGAAGAGGGAGAATGTTTTGCAGAGGAGAAAACTGAAGCAGGGTAGAAAAGTCAGCTTAACTTGATTGCACAGCAAGGTGCTAAGTAAGGCAGGAATAGAGACCATGGGCACTGGCTCCCAGCCCTGCATTTTAATCCCCGGGTGGCACTTCCGGATGCTAGCAGCCCTCCAGGGCCAAAAGCATGAAAAAAGAGAGACTTACCGCTTTCCCATTTTCCAGCCAGGTGACACTGGGGACTGGAAGGCCAGTCGCTGTGCACCGCAATGTCACCACAGACCCAAAGGTGATATTTTGGGATTCAGGAGCTTTCAGGATTCTGGCAAAAACTGCAGGAGAAGGCAAAGGTGTCAGTTAAATGCTAACATAAAGCTGAGGCTGTGCTGGCATAGGGATGCCTCCTCCCCAGTAGGTCTTGAAAAAAGCCACAGCCCCATGGATAAAAGCAGAGCACAGCATAAGCTTCCCTGTGAGCAACTGTCTTGGGAGACAGATGAGGAGGAGAAAGTAATCAGTGTAGTTATGTTCTGCACCTTACAGACTGAAATTTCACCTCTGGAAATTTCTGTATCATCTGAGTTCAACGTCTCAGAGAAGGTACTGCGCAAACAACCAAAGGCAAACTCATTGGTACTATGCAGGTGGGACAGCTTACAACAAGTACGCAGCAAGTTACCATGCTGCCCTGCCAAGGGTGACCTCATGTGAAACTTGTTCAAAACCATCAAGGGGGACCACCAGCATAGTCACAGATTGTGAAGGTTAAGGGTCAGATAAGCTCCTCAGTGTGATCACGGTGATTAGGGCTTACCATGGAGAACTGCCAACCTTGTCATTTTCCATACCAAAACAACCTCCCTAAGGACAGAAATTCTAACATCAGGTTATGGGGGAATGACTAGCAAAGACTTTGAGAAGATGAGATCAAAGGGGGAAAGCAGTTTAATTTTTTGAGAGACATTCCATCTTTACTGATCTTGCTTCTTTTACGGCAATATGGTTACCGTGCAGTTTGAAAATAACCAAGATAAGCACCACCTCCCTGCACATACACACCCCTTTTCCTTTTTTTTTTTTTTTTTTTGAGAAGACCTGAAGTACATTTGCTTAAAACTGATTTTGATCCAGAAACACAACTCAGCCTTCACAAGCTGTATTTCAGCTGTTGTACTTGGACCACGTAGCTGAAAGCAGAGAAAAGAGACATTTCCCATGTGGAACATTTGAGTTTTATCCCAAAATTTTTCATGGAGATGCCTGAATGTCTGTGCAGAAGCAGGGTGAATAGCTCTGTGCCATTTTTTACTCCAGATTCTTGTGCTTCATGAGTAACACTTGCTCTCTACATTCTGAGCTGCACAGCAATGACTGAAAGTCTCCATCAGAAGTTTTAGTAAGCAGGGGAGTTTCTCTTGGAATTCTTAGATAAGCCTGATACCTTGTTTGCCACTTTTGTTACCTATACAGTTCCCCTTACCAACATATCTGATCATGTCACAGTCTTCTATACCTCTGTTTGTTCTTAGCACTGGCCACTGGTCGCTCCTAGGAGGAGATATCTAATGCAGAGCAAGTAGGAGACCTTCAGAAACTGAATATCTGTCCCTGCCTTTTGGGATGGGAAGGCTTCATCTGCAAAATTTCAGTTGAAATAAAAAAAAAAGTACATGCTTTCCACATGGCCTGGAAATGGGCTGAGATTTGTGTTAACGAAGAGCTTTAAAACCAGTTTTTGATCATGGATAGGCAACATTAGGAGAACACTTCAGCATAGAAATATTTTTGTCTTAGAGGCGCGGCCATTCAGTGGGCTCCTGGGCAGAGTTTCTTAGGAAGGTTAAATTTAATGTCACTAAAGTGAAAAGGGTGAGAGGATATGTATTACATTCAGCTGGTAATTCCTCTGCAGTCTCCAAGAACCCTATGCTCATTGTGAATTGCTTAAAGTCAAATCTGAGCAGCATCAGGGCTGCTGCACCTCCCCTGCTCCTCAGCAAGGCAGCAGGTATGAAGTTCCATTGTTAATGCAGAAAGCCACAGTCACTGGCCAGGGACTTTCCTGAAGAATAATAAGCAGAATGAAAACTTTGCCTGAAGTTTCACTTCTGGCCATTAACACCAGATGGTTATGAATTCAGACCTGCATACCCCAGGCCAAGATCATAATTACTTTTATACTTCATTTGGAGAACTACTAATCTTTTGAGCCTGTCCCCTGGCAGCAGTTAGGTGCACATGGCTGCTGCTGCAGCCAGCAAGTTAGCTACTAGAGCAGGAATATGGCCCTTAGCACTGCTGCTGGTTTATCAGTGAGCAGCTGGGACCCTGCCCGCCTGATGACTCTGCTGCTCAGATCCCGCCCAGCTTAATTACTACTGAAGTGATGAATTAACAGCACCCTGTTAGCTAGTGCCAGAGACAGGCAGGCATGCCCTCCTCTGTACCGGCTGCTCTCCCAAAATCTGTGAGGACCTTTCAGCCGCTGAAAGGAGTGAAAAAGGCACGCTCTGAAAGTGGTGGCAGTTGCTGGGGCAGGGAGCAAAGCCACAGTGCCTGTGACGGCTGGTCCTGCTCGTGCGGCGCCTGTGGGGAAGCCAGAAAGCTACATCCCATTCCGAGAGCTCCTCCTGACAGTGCTGATCACAGAGAAGGCAAAGGGTCGGGCCATTCAAACTTAAACCACCAAATATGGAGATAAAAAAATCCAGCGACCAGCTGCTGAGCGTTCACAGCTTTCTGGTGGAAAGTACTGCAGGTGTATTACCTAGCACAGGGAGAGGTGGCTAAATAAAAGTGGGCCTATAAGGAAATTAACTGATTTCGCAAGTGTGGAAGAATGGAAACTCCTGCTACTCTCAGTCACATCATGTGTATTTCTAGGATTTTCAAAATAAGGATTACAGCTTTAGTTTTTTTAACATTTCAAGTACTTACATTTGCATGCCTTTTAAAAGTATTTTACTTAAAGCTTAGCCATAAGAACTTAAGTACTCGGCTCTAGATGCTGTGAATGGAATAACCTGGAGTTTTTTGCTTTATTTTACATTTAAGTGAGAAATTCCCTGGGACAAGAGCTGCTCCCTCACGTCCCAAGAGGGTTTGACTGGCACACCCAAGGACACATTTTCCAAAGGGCTTTTCATCACTTTGGGAAATGGCATCAAAAAACCATCATCTATTTGTGAGACCCATCATCAATGGATGGATGATCAACACACTGTCATTGCTGACAGACTCGGGCACAGAAAGAAAGCCAGGACAGGTTGTGTGAGAGCGGCCAGGGTCACCTTCCACCAATGCGAAGCAGCCAAGACCACTAGAGTGGGGTTGAGGGCCATTTTGGCAACTGTATCAGCAAAGAAATCTTTCCTGTATCTAAATGGAGGAACCTAGCCTTCAAAACTGTGACTTTTTTTTCCCCACCATATTACACAAAGAAAGAAAACAAGCAAAAGCAAGGACAAGATGGTGACTCTGAAGGTACCAACCTAAGCAACTAGCAGAGAGAGGGGAGTGAAAGGCAGAAAGAAGATGGAATGGGAAATAGTAATAAATGTAAAATTCACAGTATTTGGTAGGCTCAGAACATTGTCTTGCTTTCATTTTGCCTCAGAGTGAAAATTTCTAACAATCAGGTGATTTTTAACACCTCCATTACTTGGCTTCCTTTTCCAGATCCTCCTGAAAGTGGATTTTGCCAGGAACTTTGTATTATCTTTGCCTATATCACCACAAGGTTAACAACAGTCACATCAAGACCCCCAGGGTCTCAGCACGGGATTTCACCCAAAGGCATGCCAAAAAGCAGTCAGGGAAGGCAGGCAAAGAAACCTTCACTTATTTGTTTATTTAAGTAGAAAATAGAACAGAGGAGCTGGAAATGAAATCCAGTCAGCTAAAAGCGATGCCAGCATGTTATGTTACACTCCCAAGCCCCCTAATAAATGTCCTTTCTTTTACAGCCTTGCTAAATGACGTGCTGTGCACTGCAGGGCTTGCTAGGAGGTATCTGCACCGTGGCCAGCTGCTCTCATTTCTGAGAATTAGGTAACATCATCCAGCCCAAACAGTAGGGCTTTAATTCAGTCAAAAAATCTTTATACTATAAAAAGATTAAAGCGTGCTCCCCCCAGCCCCCAGTTTGAACAGCTAACTCTTTCCAGGTGACTTTGTTTTCCCATCGCCTTTGCTGAGCTGTGTTTCATTTCCAGGGTTTGGGGCCCAATCCTGCAGTCCTGGCAGATGCCCACCCCCGACTGGGTAAGGTCTGTTTTTTTGTGAAAGCAGGCTGGATTGGGCCAGCCACATCCAGGCAGCAGCCTGTGTGGCCTGGGGCCATGTTGCTGCTTTCAGGAAAGGACAGAGTGATCCCCAGAGCTCCCAGGAAACCCTCATGCATGCAGCTCCACTGCAGGAAGATGCCCCTTTATTTAGGTAGGGTTTAATAAGTCTTAACATTGGCTTTAACAGACCAGACCCAGTCAAGCACTGGCTTTGGAGTGGTGGGTGAGTTATTTTTGTTCCAGAGCCTCCACTGTCTCTGGGGAACACCAGCTTTCAGAGAACATGAGCAACAATTGCCAATGTATGTGAATTAACCCACCCTATCAACAGCCATGTGTATTCACATGCAGGATTGTGTTGCTAGTCTTGGCATACTGTAGAGCATACCTGACAGTCCAAACTAGGATGAGGCCACCAAGAGCTAAACTTGCGTTAGCAACCTGCTGCTGACAGTGGTTGCATGCTCCCTTCCCACTGCAGTCTGAGCCTGGCCTGGTGTGGCCATACTGCCAGGCCTGGCATCTCAACCTGCTGTACTTTCCTCCACTGCTTTGATTTTATAATGAAAAATGGCCTTCTGGATGATTTTCACATCAAAAATGTCTTCCAGCTAAGCTGCAAAATGTGGCAGATAAAGGCAACTCCTATGTGCAAAAGGTGTTGTCCTCTGCCACAGCTAGTGCCATGTTGAGAGCAAACACATATGAGTTGCTGGGGGAATTGGTGAGCCACACATCACCTCGGAAACTTCCCCGATATAAATACTCTAGCAAAGCCTTTGTGCTGCATACTATTCATGTGTAAGCATTCAGGCGCTAAACTGCAAGCGTTATTTTGCTCACGTTCGCCAGTGTTCCCATAGCTCTTTCATACCTGAAGCGTGACAGACTGAAATGACTCTTTCTCCACAGAGGAGTTCTCTGGGCTTGGATTTTGCTTACTAATCCATGAAAAATCATTTATGCTTGCCGCCTATATGCTCTGAAGAACCATAACTTATGCCAGTGTGTTTGTAGCCTTTTGCCAGTGAGAAGTGCAGTCATCT